GAGGCGCCTCTCCCAAGTCGGTCAGCAGGTAGGTGAGCCAGCGTAACTCCTGTGCAGCCATGGCCCCAGCGTAGATCTCAGCCTCACAACTGGAGCTGAGAACAGAAGACGAGCGGGTAGACCGCCAAGAGACAGAGCCTGAGCCAAGGCTGAAGGTGTAACCCTGTGACGACCGCTGCGTAGCCAAGTCGTCAACCCAGGAGGCGTCTGCGTGACCAGTGAGGACAACTCGAGCCCGTCCTCCAAGCACGAGCCCCATGCCCGACGTACTGCACAAGTAGCGCAACACCCTCTTCGCAGCATCCCAGTGCACCTTTCGGTGCCTGCCGGGAGCCACGTAGCGAGCCAGAAGGCTAAGAGGGTATGCGAGGTCAGGTCGTGTGCAAGTCATCAGATACATGAGGCAGCCCACAAGCTCTGGATACGGGCCACTCGGCTCTACGGACTTGTCCGAAGGTGGAGCTGAGAGCGAGTGACCGGTAGGCAGAGGAGTGGACTGTGGCGAGGAGTACGTGAAGCCGAAGCGCTGAAGGACCTGCTGCACCATGTGTGACTGAGTCAAGGTAATGGTGCACTGTGCTCTGTCCCGGGTGATCCGCAAGCCAAGATAGCTTGTCAGCTCACCCAGGTCTGTGCACGTGTGTCTCTTCTGCAGCTCCGACTTCACGTGGGCGAGTGCCTCAGTGTCAGCAGTAGCAAAGACCAAGTCGTCTACGTACACGAGAACGTAGAACAGCGGCAGAGTGGTGTCGGTGCGTAGAAACAGCGACGGGTCAGCAGTGGAAGGAGCAAAACCAAGAGCAGCAAGAGTCGTCCTCAGTGTGTCGTGCCACTCACGGGGTGCCTGGCGGAGACCGTAGACTGGCCGCCGGAGGCTCCACTGGGTACCAGCAGGAAACAACCCAGTGAAGCCAGGTGGGCGGCGCAGCCAGATCTCCTCATGCAGGCTGCCCTGTAGGAAGGTTGTGCTGAAGTCAAGCGAGTGGAGCTCGTAGTCACGGTGAGCAGCTACGTGCAGCAGTACCCGAAGAGTGGTCATCTTCGGGGTAGGGGAGAAGGTCTGGAAGAAGTCAACTCCCTGTCGCTGGCTGAAGCCACGTGCAACGTAACGCGCCTTGAAGACAGGCGGAGAACCCGGTGGCCACTTCACCCTGAAGATCCACATGCCACTGACGATGTTCGCCCCAGGCGGGGGAACCTCGTCGACGTAGGCGCCTGTGGACTTCCAGGAAGCCATCTCGGCGTCCATGGCTGCCTGCCACTGAGAGGAGTAGGGACCCGTAATCGCCTTTTCGTAAGAGCGCGGGGTCGGGATGTTTGGTGCATCCGGGTCTCCCTCAGGGGCAAGCAGCATAGACGCGAGATGAGGTACAGCAGCGGCAAAGCACTCAAACTCCTCCTGTCTGTCCTCAAGAATGTTCGTTCCTAGAGCACACTCACCCCCGACGGACGGAGGACAGACAGACGCAGACGCAGACTCAGCAACAAGACTAGTGGCGTAGTCGAGGCGACAGGCTGCAACAAAGTCAACAAGCTCAGCAACGAGAGCAGACGCAGCAGTGGACTCAAACAAAGGGTCAGTGACAGCAGTGGCCAGAAAGCACGTGACAGTAGGACTAGCAGCACGAAGGGAGTCAGACTCCGGGTCCGGACTGGCAGGAAGGGAGGACGCAGGAGGAGACGGCCGAGGGACACGCTGTGGAGCAGAGGAAGGACGCAGAGTCATAGAGTGAGTGCCAGGGACAGGAGGAGGACGCGGACGCGAAACACAACGACCAGCGCAAACAGTGCGAACTCGCGACTCAGAACGAGACTTAGGTGACTCAGGACGAGACTCAGGCGACACAGGACGCGACTCAGGCTCACGACGCTCCGTAAGACCTCTAGTCGGTCCAGAGTAAGGAGAAGGACCAGGCAGGGGAGAGGCCGGCTGTAACTGCGACTGTGACTGGACAGGCGGTGGACTCAGTAAAGGAGGAGTAGGACCAGGAGAAGGCGGGAGACCAAGAACCTGCTGAAGGAGCAGAACGTAGTACGGTCGCGGCCTCGCAGCGCCTCCAGGAACAGCAAAGACAGCACCACTACCCTCAGCGCCAGGGTCTCCAGCTACAACTCCCGCAGTACCACCAGCTCCAGTACCTGCAGCGCCAACGCCTGCAGCACCACCAGCCCCAGCAGCTCCAGTACCTCCAGTACGAGCACCTCCAGGACCAGCGGCTCCAGCACCAGCAGCACCTCCAGCAGCACCAGCACCAGCAGCGCCTCCAGCAGCTCCAGCACCAGCAGCAGCTCCAGCACCAGCGGCGCCTCCAGTACCTCCAGCACCAGCAGCACCTCCGGCAGCTCCAGCACCTCCTGTGGCTCCAGCACCAGCAGCACCTCCTGCAGCACCAGCACCAGCAGCACCTCCAGCAGCTCCAGCACCAGCAGCACCTCTAGCAGCTCCAGACGCACGGCGACAGCGCCGAGAGTACCACTCACGAAGCTGCTGCGGAGAGAGGGGCTCCCGCCGCAACGGGACACCCGGAGAACCTCCAGACTCAGCACGCGCAGGCTCAGCACCCCAAGACGCAGTACCCCCAGGCTCAGCACCCCCAGGCTCCACACGCTCAGGCTCAGCACCCCCAGACTCCACACGCTCAGGCTCAGCACCCCCAGTCCCCGCACCCGCAGGCTCAGCACCCCTAGCAGCACCTGAGTCGACAGCTACCTCGACCGGCTCGGCAGGGTCTACCTGAGACACACCTGAGGGGGCAGGACCCTGAATGTAGTGTTTTCATGAACAGAATGACCCACCACTTGTAGTGCTGCCAATACAGGATGTAATCTTTCCTGGTTCTCGGCGCGAGATAACCGATAGGGATCTTTACGCGGCGAATCCTGCTATCCACGTCGGCCTGTTTTCGTACTGACTCATGCGTAGCTGATGCTGGCCCATCTGCAGTTCCCTGGGGTGCAGCCTGTGATTCTTGCCCCTCTGCATTTCCCTGGGGCGCAGCCTGTGGTTCTTGCCCCTCTGCATTTCTCTGGGGCGCAGCCTGCGACTCGAGCCCATGTGCATTTCCAACTGGCGATGCCTGTGATTCTGGGCCGTGGGCATTGTCTCGGGCCGCCTCCCCAAAAAGTCTTCGACTGGTAGTGTTATCTTCAGAGGTTGGACTGCGGCTAGCATTTTCCTCCCAACTTTCCTCCCACGTCGCCCTGTGTTCGTCGTCGTCATCGTCTCCGAGGTTAATCCACACCCCCGAACGCCTTTCGCCCCTCGGATTTGCGCCCTCAGCCACATTTCCCTCGACTCCGACAGGAGGGTTCGAGGCCGGAAATTCTTGTGGAGCATCCACGAACACTTCTCTCGCCACTGCTGGTGCAAACTCCTTGTCCCAATCTTGGTCCCTGGTTAGATCTAACGGGGCATGCGGCAATTGGCTGTCTTCGAGATAAAAAAACTGTTCATTGCCCTCGAAAGGTGCACTATGCAAATTACCCGTACCACCTTCGATCTCCATCACGGAGTACCTTGTTCAGAGGACTGTATGCCTCTCATAGTCCACGAAATCTGTCCTGAATCGCTTTTGTTAGACACGCGAAATCTATACCGGCGTGTAGAGAATGAGATGGACTGCCAGCGAACCCAAGAGTAGAGGAGAATGCTGTCCTGAAACGAGTCTCGCGTGTGGAGTTGTTTCGGGAACAAAAAACTATGGGTGTGACCCCCTGGCGTCGAGTACAGTGCTGATATGAAATGAATGTTTTTTCAGAGTTGTTTTGAAGCTCGAAAATACCTACACCTCTCAAAGTTTTGTTGTTCCTCTAAAATACCAACATTGTCCATAGTACTAAAAATATCACGGAGACGAGTGCGTCTGTGTGCATTTCGGAACGATGCAATGTATCATGCCATGATGTGTTGTAGGTACGAAAGGATGCATGGCTGATGAACTCAAGAAAAATGTGTTGAACCTTCAAGAAGCAATCAGGGAAATGGTACACATCTGAGCCCTTTTGAAGCATTTTGGGGCTCAGCCACAAGGGCACGAGCTCCACAATCTCTGACTGCATCCTCTCTTCCCGCCATAATTTTTCTAAATCTGGTCGCCACACCCCAGATCTGGTGTTCTTCCCGCCCGTGTTAGAGCACTCGATTGGCTCCTCCACACTTGCGTAACTCTGAGCCACACCCCTCCCGCATAGATGGGAGTGGCTCGGCCACGTGGATCACTATTGGCGCGCAATAGAAAAAAAAAAAAACAATGCACCCGGGTTGTGGCCATGTTCGAATTTATACAAAACTGTCTTAGATTGGATTTGCAGCTTTTAAAAATTTAGTAAAAGCACTATGTCGCGATCGAAAAATCCAAGTTTTTGTTTTCTAGTGGTACCTAATCTGTTCCACGTTTCCAGATTCCGGTTGCCATTGTGCTTGAAACAATCTGTTCTACCGACGGTTGGACTTGTAGAGTATAAACCGGTGTGCAGATAAACCAATTTCACCCTAAACATATTTCAAACACGAACTTCAGTATCGAGATTCTCGATACCGAGGTTTACGCAAACTGGTTGCGACGTGGTCGCGCAGATCACGTCGCAACCGTTTGCGCGAAAGGTGCACGTCAATTTGACGGCTGCACCTTGACGCTGGCCAGAGCATGCGCGAATCTGTTCGGGCAGAGAACTGGTTCACGGGCAGGCCGAGCCTAGCCCGTGGGGCGGTGGGGCTTGTCTTGCTCGGCGCAAGCTTGCGCCGCTTCCGCGTGGGTCTAGGCGAGCTCGACCAGACGAGCTCGACCTGGCTTTTTCCTCTGGCAAATCCGCTCGACCTGCGCCCACGACTACATAACTTCCCCTCATTAGCTCCAGTGAATCACTGACAATGGCAGTGGTACTGTACTTCAAGTATAGGCAGTCCGACTGCTTGATCTAGTAGTACCAGCACTTCCTCCTGAGTACCTTGCATTCTGCAGTTTCGGAGCTCAATACTTTTTATACTAGTACTACACGTCATGGCGCCAGGATCTGCGCCTGCTGCGACACGGGTGAGACAACCCTACTGAGTAGCATGTGATATATTGTTCAGCAACTTCTTAGTACTAGGCTCTTGACGTTATGTTTCAGCACCAAACGACATCTCCCTTCCCTTCAACACCTACGTCTCAACACCCTTTTGTCCGCTGTGCCAGGGTGTTGTTGTGACTCCACAGGGCGGGAGCCACGACGACGGAGCGCCAATGCCAACTCTGAGTCAGTCGAGGGTGGCAGCAAGGGACGAAGAAGCTGCAACCCTACCAAGTCAATGCGACGCAGAGGAAGAAGACCTGGTCTTGAGTCAACGTGAACACGAGGAAAAAGGCCCACTGCCAGTGGCAACCTCAGATCAACCCGACGAAGAGGAGAACCAGCTGAATGTTGCTACTACTAGCAGAAGTACCCGTCATTCAATGACAAGTAGTACTACCACTACCATTGGTAGCACTCTTTTCCGCACCACCAGCACCAATGGTAGTACTAGTAGTATTGGTTCTTTTGATGACGATGGAATGATGGCGGAAGAAGATGCCAAGCCGTGCTCTGGTGCTCTAGAGGCGGCCTCTGGTGCCTCTGGTGCCACTGGTGCCTCTGGTGCCTCTGGTGACACTAATGCCAAGGGTGTTGGTGTGGCTACGCATGAGAACGGAGACGGCAGCAACAAGAAGCCTGGACTGCTCGCTGCTTGCCGGCGGATAGCTGATGGAATACTGCCTGCATTTCTCAGAAAGGTGAGGAAACGGCGGAAGGGGTCCTCAGTTGTGTAGAAGTGCCTTGATTGTGTGTGTGTGTGTGTGTGTGTGTGTGTGTGTGTGTGTGTGTGTGTGTGTGTGTATGTGTGTGTGTGTGTGTGCGTGCGTGTGTGCGTGTTTGAGAATGTGAGGATGGGGAATGCGGAGGAGAGGAAAACCAGTGGCTTGTCCTCCATAGCATCATGTTGTGACTGCCTCACTTGCGCTCTCTTCATATGCAACTGCCTTTTCCATGTTGTGACTGCCTCACTTGCGCTCTCTTCATATGCAACTGCCTTTTCCATGTTGTGACTGCCTCACTTGCGCTCTCTTCATATGCAACTGCCTTTTCCACGTGAAGGTGTTGCTTTCATACATCTACCTGCCATGATGACATGATAGATCTGCGTCTTATTTTAATTTCTTGGACTTTCCTTGATCTGCAGACCAGGACCAGTCCCGAGGAGCCTGCTGCAACTGCTTCCGCTACCGCTGCTACTACTGCTTCTGCTGTTGCTTCTGCTGCTGAATTGAGCCTGGAAAGGGCTGAGTCCAAGAGGGAGGGGGGGGATGACGAGGACGATGGTAGCGAGGGTGCGGCAGCAGATGAATCTGCATTGAAAACCGAAGTCATTGTTGAAGACCCTCCCAAGGTCAACCCCTGCCTCCTCCTTTCCCCTTCCCCTCCCCCCTTTGTCGCTGCTCCCCCTTCCACTATCCCCTGCCCTTTCCTCTCTCCTCTTGCGCCCCTCCCTCCCCTTCCCCCTCGCCCATTGACTCGTCGCCGCAACCCCATTTCCTCTAAAGCAGTGGGATGTCCATCATTACCGCTGCACACACCTTTCTTTGTTTGCTTTCGCCTGTGTTTGTGTGTGTGTGTTTTTATTAACTCGTTTTGTTTGTTTTCCCTGTGTGTGTGTGTGTGTGTGTGTGTGTGTGTGTGTGTGTGTGTGTGTGTGTGTGTGTGTGTTGTGTGTTTTTGTTGTTGGTGGATTTTTTTTAATTTATTATTTCCAAATCCTCAACTCTGCCTACTCTCTCATCATCATTTACGCAGGTACGACGTGGAAGCTACTGGGATCTCTTCGTCACCTTCTTCTTCCTCGGATGGACGTCGTTCGGTGGTGCCGCCGCCCACATCGCCATGTACCACAAGCAGTTCGTGGAGCTGCGCGGGTGAGTGGAGCTGAAGAGATGAGTCGATTCCACTCCTCCCAGTCCATTCCAGTCTTCCCATCCAGCGGGCACAGGTTGCGCCGCATACTGGTTGCGTCCATCCTCCCTCCCATCATTTTGTCATCCCTTCCTCTTCTCACCCCCTCAACCCCTCATCTCCTCATTTCCTCTACCCTCCCCCTTTTCCCCTCCCCCCCTCTCCTCTCCTCAGGTGGATGACAGAGGACATGTTTGCAGAATTATTAGCGCTCACCCAGACAGTACCCGGCCCATCCAGCACGCAGATGTCGCTCGCCATCGGCATCATGCAGAAGGGCATCACCGGCGGCTTCCTCTCCTGGATCCTCTTCCAGCTCCCTGGCGCGCTCATCATGAGCGTTGCTGGCTTTGGCGTCGCCAAGGTGAGACAGGCAGACCAGCAGACCAGTAGCTCGCTCACTCGCTCATCACCAGTGCAGCAGTGGCTCGCTCGTCCAACTCTCAGGAGTTCTCATCATGAGCTCAGCTGCCTTTGCAGCTACAGAGGTTAGCAAAGCCAGTTACTGGTGGATCCAGCGCCATGACTCTCTGCTTTCTGCTCTCTTTTTTTTTTTTTAGTCGATTAAAATATTCCCCCCCTTCTCCCACAACCTCCTTCTCCCCAGTTCCTGGTGGATCCACCGGCGTGGCTCTCTGCTATCTCCGCCGGGGCGACAGCGGTGGCGGTGGCTCTAATAGCAGATGCGGCAGTGATGCTGGGGAGCAAGATGTGCCGGAACAGAGTCACACGCATGCTCTGCGTCACCTCTGCTGCCATCACCTTTTACTACACCACGCAGTGGATCTTCCCCACCGTCATTCTGCTCGGTGAGTGATGCTTGGGAGGGTCATAGGCAACAGGGTGACCCACATGCTCTGCGTCACCGCTGCTGCCATCACCTTTTACTACACCACGCAGTGGATCTTCCCCACCGTCATCCTGCTTGGTATGAACCAAGTTGGTGGAATTTTTGCCAATTCACAAGTCATTGTTCGCATGCTCTGCATCACCTCTGCTGCCATCACCTTTTACTACACCACGCAGTGGATCTTCCCCACCGTCATCCTGCTTGGTATGAACCAAGTTGGTGGAATTTTTGTCAATTCACAAGTCATTGTTCGCGTGCTCTGCGTCACCTCTGCTGCCATCACCTTTTACTACACCACGCAGTGGATCTTCCCCACCGTCATCCTGCTTCGTATGAACCAAGTTGGTGGAATTATTGCCAATTCACAAGTCATTGTTCGCGTGCTCCGCGTCACCTCTGCTGCCATCACCTTTTACTACACCACGCAGTGGATCTTCCCCACCGTCATCCTGCTTGGTATGAACCAAGTTGGTGGAATTTTTGTCAATTCACAAGTCATTGTTCGCGTGCTCTGCGTCACCTCTGCTGCCATCACCTTTTACTACACCACGCAGTGGATCTTCCCCACCGTCATCCTGCTTGGTATGAACCAAGTTGGTGGAATTTTTGTCAATTCACAAGTCATTGTTCGCGTGCTCTGCGTCACCTCTGCTGCCATCACCTTTTACTACACCACGCAGTGGATCTTCCCCACCGTCATCCTGCTTGGTATGAACCAAGTTGGTGGAATTTTTGCCAAATCACAAGTCATTGTTCGCATGCTCTGCGTCACCTCTGCTGCCATCACCTTTTACTACACCACTCAGTGGATCTTCCCCACCGTCATCCTGCTTGGTGAGAAGTTTTTTTGTGTGTGTGTGTTTTTTTTTTTTGTTTTACATGCGCTTAAAAAGAAAGTCGCTAGGTCGTGCTTGCCACGTGCACCGCCTGCTTGTAACATGCGAGACCATGCATGTCGACGATATACCCCTCATCCTTCCTCAGGCGGTGCGGTGAGCCTTTTTCACCAAGCTCCAAGCCACATACCGTTCTCTCTTACCAGCCCACTACGACCCTCTCTTCTCCCTTCCACTTTCCTTCTGCCTTCTTTCCCTTCCCCCCACCTCCCCTCTTTTTCAGGCGGCGTGGTCACCTATTTCACGCAGCGCAACAAGCCCATCCCTCCGCAGCGCAACAAGCCCATCCCTACGCAGCGCAACAAGCCCATCCCTACGCAGCGCAACAAGCCCATCCCTCCGCAGCGCAGCAACATTCAGAGGCTGGGCGTGTCGCCGTTGGGCGGCGGGATGCTGCTGTTTGCGTGGATCGGCATCTTGTGTTTGCCATTGTCTACAACAATGCTATCACCAAATCGGGCTCGCAGTGGATGCACCTGTTCGAGGTGTGTGGGTGTATGTTTGTGTGTGTGTGTGTGTGTGTGTGTGTGTGTGTGTGTGTGTGTGTGTGTGTGTGCACGTATGCACATGTGTGTGTGTGTGTGAGTGTGTGTGTGCGTGCGTGTGTGCGTGTGTACATGACCGGATCAGTGACGTACGGGAGGGCTGTGATGATGTGTTCCATTCACCCACATCTTTACCTCGTCCCCCGACTTGTGTGACTGCTAGAAGAATTCTAAATGACCGGTTGATGACCCCATATGCCTGAGAACCTTAACTCTTCATGCCCCTCTTCCGTGTGACAGCAGGGATTCTACATGACTGGGTCAACGACGTACAGTTGCTGCCTCATACCGTACATACTCCCAAATCCTCGAAACCTTGCTTCTCTACGTCCCCTGTCTCGTGTATGACTGCAGGGATTCTACATGAATGGGTCAGTATGGAGGAGGCCCCGTGGTGCTCAATTCAGTTGCACATATCCACATCCCTCACACCTTCATTCTCTCTCCGCCCCCTGTCTTCTGTGTTACTGCAGGGGTTTTACATGACTGGATCAGTGACGTATGGAGGAGGCCCCGTGATGCTGCCTTTGCTGGAGAGCATAGTGATCGAGCATGAGACCGTGTGCCCACCTGGTGGGGGCAAGGTGAGATATAGAGGGGTTGAGTGCGGTGGGGGGTGGTTTGGAGAGGCATACGGGATAGGCCCCGTGATGCTGCCTCTGCTAGAGAGCATAGTGATCGAGCATGACACCGTGTGCCCACCTGGTGGGGGCTAGGTGAGAGGGGGAGGGGGAAAGTGAGAGTAGGAGAAGGGATTTATGGTGAGGAGAAAAGGAAGGTGAGAGGGAATGGTTATTGTGAGAGCATTGTGATCGAGCATGACACCGTGTGCCCACCTGGTGGGCGGGAAGGTGAGAGGGAGAGCAATCCAAGGGATGAAGCATCATTTGTAGAGTACGGGATAGGCCCCGTGATGCTGCCTCTGCTGGAGAGCATTGTGATCGAGCATGACACCGTGTGCCCACCTGGTGGGGGCAAGGTGAGAGAGAGAGGGAAAGGGGAAAAAAATGGAGGGAAAGGAGAGGGAGTGAATGAGGGAAGGGTGAGAGTTTTGATGAGACTGTGCCCATCTATTTGGAAGGCAGGGAGTAGAGGGAAAGAGGATATAAAGGCAGGGAGTAGAGGGAAAGGGGATATGAAGGCAGGGAGGAGAGGGGAAGGGGGTATGAAGGCAGGGAGGAGAGGGGAAGGGGATATGTGGGCTCCAAAAGGCTGCTGCATGGGGTCATCTCAATGTGCTATCGCTCACCTGTGTATTAGCATGTGAAGATGAATCAGGGACATGTCATTGCTGCTTTTGCTTGCACCTATTCTCCGTGCCTCTGGTATCCATGCCTGTACGCAGCATAATTCTAACATCCATGAAACACTGTGATGCATGCAACACTGTGATCCATGCAACACTGTGATGCATGCAACACTGTGATGCATGCAACACTGTGATGCATGCAACACTGTGATCCATGCAACACTGTGATGCATGCAACACTGTGATCCATGCAACACTGTGATGCATGCAACACTGTGATGCATGCAACACTGTGATCCATGCAACACTGTGATCCATGCAACACTGTGATGCATGCAACACTGTGATCCATGCAACACTGTGATGCATGCAACACTGTGATCCATGCAACACTGTGATGCATGCAACACTGTGATGCATGCAACACTGTGATCCATGCAACACTGTGATCCATGCAACACTGTGATCCATGCAACACTGTGATCCATGCAACACTGTGATCCATGCAACACTGTGATCCATGCAACACTGTGATCCATGCAACACTGTGATGCATGCAACACTGTGATCCATGCAACACTGTGATCCATGCAACACTGTGATCCATGTAACACTGTGATCCATGCAACACTGTGATGCATGCAACACTGTGATCCATGCAACACTGTGATCCATGCAACACTGTGATCCATGTAACACTGTGATCCATGCAACACTGTGATCCATGCAACACTGTGATCCATGCAACACTGTGATCCATGCAACACTGTGATCCATGCAACACTGTGATCCATGCAACACTGTGATGCATGCAACACTGTGATCCATGCAACACTGTGATCCATGCAACACTGTGATCCATGCAACACTGTGATCCATGCAACACTGTGATCCATGCAACACTGTGATGCATGCAACACTGTGATCCATGCAACACTGTGATCCATGCAACACTGTGATGCATGCAACACTGTGATCCATGCAACACTGTGATGCATGCAACACTGTTGCATGCAACATGGTTCCACATGGTGTTTGCAGTTCTAACAGCACGCATATCCACCCCCTTTTTCTGCTTCATCCATGTGGCAGTGTTTTATGTGGATGCCAACATCACCATGATCACCACACAACAGTTTCTTGCAGGCTATACTGGATTCACTCTAGAGAGTCTTTAAGAGTGTATACAGCACAACCAATGCACGCATCCTCCCTTTTTTTCTCGGCTTCCTCCACATGGCAGTGCTTCGGATTGGATTGGAAATGATCACCACGCAGCAGTCCCTTGCCGGCTCCACGGGATTCACTTTCTCTCTTTCTTAACCGAGATTCCAGCATAATCAGCACACGCCCATCCACCCCCCCTCCCCCCTTCCCCCTCTGCTTCCTCCACCCGTCAGTGCTTTGAAGTGGATGCCAACACCACCATGATCACCACACAGCAGTTTCTCGCCGGTCTCGCCCTCTCACAGGCCATTCCTGGCCCGCTCTTCAACTTCTCTGCCTACCTTGGCTCTGTGGTGAGCCCCTTGGTTCTCTTGTGATTCCATGCGAAAGTAACTTCATGTGTCGCGAACCCTTCCACTTCCAGGCCATCCACAGCAAGTTCGTGTACTTGTAGGTCGTTACTGTCAATCTTTTGCTAAAAGTTTGTTTTAGACTGCTGAAGGCACTTCCAGGCCACCCACAGCATCATGTACTTGGTAGATGTGCATGAAGAAGCACCGAATCTCATCTCATGTGTACAGCAAGTCGTGTTTTGAGTCGAATCCATCCACTTCCAGGCCATCCACAGCAAGTTCACGTACCTGTAGATGTGCATGAAAAAGCATCTCATCTCATCTCATGTGTACAGCAAGTACATCTGCAGCGATACGACCTAAGCCCTTCCAATTCAGCATGCAATCAAAATCGCTCCCCATGCTTCCATCGTTGTACGCACACATTCCCAGTTTTGAGGCGCCTCACAACTTGATTCCATCGTTGTACGCGCACATTCCCATTCCATGCGGATTGGTGGAATCCGGGGGTTGGTATCATGCTGGAGCAGATCTGCATGTATTGGGAATATGCGCGCACCAAAGATCGCTGGGTGATCTCATCATCGTCGGTGTCTTGAATCAGTAAAACATCTCCTCCATCCTTCTATGCGTGTATTCCCACGCAGATCGGTGGAATCCGGGGGTTGGCAACATGCTGGATCGCTATCTTCTCGCCGGGTGTTCTCATCATCATCGGTATCCTTCCCTTCTGGGGCCAGTTCCGCAAATGGAAGCTGTAAGTCAAGCCTTTTGAGGTGCCTCAAAAGCTTTCTCATGGCCCAAATTCTGTTTAGGGTTTAGGGTTACATGAATCTGTTTTCATCACCACTCTTGAGGCGTCTCAAAAGTCGATTCCATGAATCTGTTTTCATCACCACTCTTGAGACGTCTCAAAAGTTGATTCCATGAATCTGTTTTCATCACCACTCTTGAGACGTCTCAAAAGTCGATTCCATGAATCTGTTTTCATCACCACTCTTCTCCCCACCCTGTGTCCGTCCTTCTGATGTTGCTTTGCTGCAGGTACAAGCGAGCAACGCCGGGATTCAACGCCACAGGAGTAAGTGTTGCAATCATGCGCATTGCAACTCTTATTCAATCAAACCACAGGAATTTCCCCATTGCATTGCTCTCACGGCGCTACCTTTGCTGTCTTTTCCTACCCTCTCCCCTCCACCCCCCCCAAGAATCCCCCTCCCTCTTTCCCGTCCTTCCAACCCTTTCCAGATTGGCCTCATCTGGGCATCTGCATTCTCTCTTGGCCTCAAGCCGTATAAAGTGACCCCCTTCCCCATTGCATTGCTCTCAAGGCCCCACCCATTCCCATTTCCCCCCCCTTCCAACCCTCTCCCGATTGGTCTCATCTGGGAATCTGTGTTCTCTCTGGGTCTCAAGGCATACAAAGTCAGCCCCTTCCCCATGGCGTCACTCTCAAGGCGTCATCTTTGCTATTGTTTCTTACCCTCCCTCCAACCCTCCTCAGATCGGTCTCATCTGGGCATCTGCGTTCTCCCTGGGTCTCAAGGCATACAGAGTCAGCCCCTTCCCCATGGCATTACTCTCAAGGCCCGCCCCCTTCCCCTTTTCCCTCCCTTCCCGCTCCCCCCCCCCTTCCAACACTCTCCAGATCGGTCTCATCTGGGCGTCTGCGTTCTCCCTGGGTCTCAAGCCGTACAAATTCAGCCCCTTCCCCATGGCGTCACTCTCAAGGCGTTACCTTTGCTATTGTTTCTTACCCTCCCTCCCACACTCTCCAGATCGGTCTCATCTGGGCATCTGCGTTCTCTCTGGGTCTCAAGGCTATCAAAGTCAGTCCCTTCCCCATGGCGTCGCTCTGCATCGGCATGTTTGGATATGCTAGCACTAGCTTCCTCAAGGTACGCCCCTCCCCCACCCTCTCATTGTGAAGTCGACTCACAAGTAACTTCAACCATTTTTCCGTCAACTCGGAAGTCAGCCCCTTCCCCATTGCATCGCTCTGCATCAGCATGTTCGGATACTACTGCCTTTCTTTTGCTAAAAGAGACTTTCTAACTGCTGCCCGCCCAGTCTTCATGGCGGAAGGCCACCTCTGCCATATGTTACTTTACAGCTTGCGAATCATGGCATGTATGGTCTCTGCACTGTTGCTTGTGTGTGTGTGCGTGTGTGCGTGCGTGCGTGCGTGCGTGCGAGTGTGTGTGTGTGTCTGTGTGTGTGTGGTTTTCAGATTTCTCCTCCTCTTGCCATCGTGGGCGGAGCAGCACTAGGGGTGATAGCTTGGGCTACTCACATGATGTAGCTGCCTAGCTACCTCTGCTGCACTTCACTTGTTTTGCTGCCCTTATGCATTCTACTACCTTATCACTTATTATCCTTGCTTGTCATTCGTAGTACGGTATTATTGAATGTATTGGCTTTGCAACCATTGTCTTCTAAAGAAGCAGTAAGCACTCTCCTCCCCACTCATCTTTCATTGGCAATACCCCTTGCTGTCTACACACCACATCAAAAAGGGGTTTCACAATCAACTCGGCTGGGGTACAGGCGTCACTTCATGTATTGGTTGGGAAAGAGGGGAGAGGAAGGGTAGGTGGGGAAGGAGGGGTTGGGGTGGGGTTGGGGTGGGCTCTATAAAACCTTTGATCACAAATGACCAGTACATCCATTCCTTTCTGGTCCATCGTCGTTCATTGTGGCAGTCCCAAGGACTGGGCAGGCAGCGGGCGGCAGGCGGCCGGTGGCTCTCCAAATAAAACCTTAGAAGTGGTTGGGGGGGTGGGGTGGGTTCCATATAACCTTTGATACATATTACATCCATTCATTTCTGGTCCATGTTCGTTCATTGTGGCAGTCCCAGGGACTGGGCAGGCAGCAGGCGGCGGGCGGCCCTCGGAATGAGCCATGAATGAGATCTGATCAGATCCTGTCCACATAAGAAACCCATCCGCCAAAATTGTCGGTCGGTGTGCTAGTGCAGGTGGGGCCTGCAAGTGAAGTGTGACCCGTCACCTGTTCTCTTTAAACTTTGATAAGTACATATACGGTACAAATGACACTTCATAGATAACCATGCCCAGGGCATCCTATACATAGCAGGGCCTCAAATGTGAGATGTAGCTGTATCGTATTCTAAAGCTGATTACGAACATAAGGGAACATAAGCTGAAAAATCATGTCTTTCTTGAGTCGACTCAAAACAGGATTATATGAAGAATGCGCGCAGGAGGTCCATAGCCTGCAGGAACAAGGGGCATGTGCATGTGAGTGAATGTGTGAGTGCATGTGTGAGTGCATGTGTGAGTGCATGTGTGAGTGCATGTGTGAGTGCATGTGTGAGTGCATGTGTGAGTGCATGTGAGTGCATGTGTGAGTGCATGTGTGAGTGCATGTGTGAGTGCATGTGTGAGTGCGTGTGTGAGTGCATGTGTGAGTGCATGTGTGAGTGCATGTGTGAGTGCATGTGTGAGTGCATGTGTGAGTGCTTGTATGAGTGCATGTGTGAGTGCTTGTATGAGTGCATGTGTGAGTGCTTGTATGAGTGCATGTGTGAGTGCTTGTGTGAGTGCATGTGTGAGTGCTTGTGTGAGTGCATGTGTGAGTGCTTGTATGAGTGCATGTGTGAGTGCTTGTATGAGTGCATGTGTGAGTGCTTGTGTGAGTGCATGTGTGAGTGCTTGTATGAGTGCATGTGTGAGTGCTTGTATGAGTGCATGTGTGAGTGCTTGTATGAGTGCATGTGTGAGTGCTTGTATGAGTGCATGTGTGAGTGCTTGTGTGAGTGCATGTGTTAGTGCATGTGTGAGTGGATGTGAGTGGATGTGAGCGCATGTGAGCGCAGGAATGAGTGGGAGGCGAGGGCGGTTCACTTCACAGACACTCACCATCCCCACCACTCACCTCCCCACCAGTTACCTCCCCACCACCCACCATCCCCACAAGTTAAAGCAGGTGTGGAGCGGGTGATAGACTCACTCACCTGCGCAGCACTGAACAATTCATCACAGCACTCACCATCCCCTGGACGTGCTGCCCCATACTCCACCCTTGAAAAACGCACTCACCTGCTGTACACCAAACACATTCACCACTCACCTGCCCCAGCACTTACCTACACCAGCACTCCCCATCCCGAGCACCCACCCACCTGTCCCTGCACATCTGTTGGAGCGAACCGCACCACCTCCCTGAGAGCACACACAGCCCCCGAGCTCCTCATGCTGCGCCTGTGCTCCGCCCCACACCCCGCCATCACCACCAGCGCCCCTCCCCTCCCCTCTTCCAGCCCACCCCACACCCCGCCATCACCACTAGCACTCACCTGCCCTGCATTACCCCCCTTCCCCCCCTTCCCCCCTTTCCACCCCCCAGAACTCACCATCCCCTGCACGTCTGTCGGAGCGAACCGCACCACCTCCCTGAGAGCACACACAGCCCCCGAGCTCCTCATGCTGCGCCTGTGCTCCGCCCCACACCCCGCCATCAGTAACCCACTCACCTGCCCTGCATTGAAACCACCCCCCCTGCCCCCTCTCCAGCACTCACCATCCCCTGCACATCTGTCGGAGCGAACCGCACCACCTCCCTGAGAGCACACACAGCACCGCAGCTCCTCATGCTGCGCCTGTGCTCCGCCCCACACCCCGCCATCAATAAATCACTCACCCCCGCCCCTTCCAACCACTCACCTGCCCTGCACTCACCCCCGCCCCTTCCAACCACTCACCATCCCCTGCACGTCTGTCGGAGCGAACCACACCACCTCCCTGAGATCACACACAGCCCCACAGCTCCTCATGCTCCTCTTGTGCTCCGCGCCACACCCTGCCATCACCACCAGCGCTGCCAGCACCGCCCTCACCGCCTCCTCACTCCACCTCCCCCACCCCGTCCCAGACCCATCCAGCACTCACCTGCCCTAGCACCCACCTACTCCAGCACCCACCTACTCCAGCACCCACCTACTCCAGCACCCACCTACTCCAGCACTCACCTGCCCTGCACTAGCCACCCCCACCCGCCCCTTCCAAAGCACTCACCATCCCCTGCACGTCTGTCGGTGCAAACCACACCACCTCCCTGAGAGCACACACGGCCCCGCTGCTCCTCATGCTCCTCCTGTGCTCCGCGCCACACCCCGCCATCACCACCAGCGCTGACATCACCGCCCTCACCGCCTCCTCACTCCGCCTCCCCTCCTCTTCCCCTCCCTTCGACACTGAAGCAGCATTCGAGGCATAGGAGGCAAAGGCTGTCAGCACATGCACCAGGCTTGGAATCGCCTCTCCTACGCTCTCCCTTGCTCTAGCTGCCTCGTCTTCTGCAGGGCTGTCCTGGGAGAACGCTGCTAGTGCAGCGAGTGTGGAGCAGAGCGGGAGTGTGGTACCCCAATCAGCAGAATCGAGGGCTGCTTCGAGTGTGAGAGTGAGGATGGGGATGGAGTCCTGAGTGAGGAGGAAGGAGCAGCAGGAGTCGGAGAGTGAGAGGCTCGCCACAGCCTCGGCGGCTGCTTGCCTCGCCATCCGAACCTCTCTTCCCGGACCACTTTCCATACCTCCCTCTCCCCCTCCCTTTCCTGCTCTAACTCCCGCCTCCGCTCCTTTCTCCCCACTAAGCCCCCGCTCCTTGTCCCGGGCCCATCTGCTGGCCCCTTTAGCCAGGTGTTTGAGGAGCGGTTTGAGCACCCCTGCTTGCACGAGCTGAGATCGGGCATGCGGGGAGAGCGAGGCCGTATTGCTGACGATGCTGCTGAGTTTGGCTTGCGCTGCTGGGGATGAGGATGAGCGCTTTAGACACTGGGGGAAGGTAGGGAGGTGCATGGGAGGGCAGAGGTAGAAATGAGATGGGATGGGGCAGTGGCGCTGCTGAAGCTGTTGGCTCTGGCCTGTGCTGCCGGTGCTGGGGAGGAGGAGGAGCGCTTCAGGCACTGGAGGAGGCAGGGTGTGGGGGAGGGAGGGCGGAAAGGGAGGTAAGAAGTGGGGGCAGACAGGGTGGGGTGAGATGGGGAGAGCGAGGCCGTGGCGCTGACGATGCTGCTGAGCCTGGCCTTTTGAGGCGCCTCAAAAGTTTGTTTTTAAAGACGATTTTTTAGGCGCCGCACAAGTGCTGCTGTGCTGAGCCTGGCTTGTGCTGCCAGGGTGAGTGCTTCAGACGCTGGGGAAACGGGGTGCGTGGGAGGGCGGAAAGGAAGCAAGATGGGGAGGTTGCGGTGCGGATGACGCTGCTGGCTGTGGCCTGCGCTATTTGGGAGGAGAGTTTCAGACACAGAATGCCCTGTCCTTCACGCAATGCAATAGACACCCCTCTGGCCTGAGTGGTGCGGAACCCACTGGTGTTTCAGCAGCAGGGACTCGTTAGAAGCCACGTGTAGAAAGTGAATTTTAGAGACGCCTAAAAAAATCACTTTCTACACATGGCAGAACCCACTGGTGCTTCAGCAGCAGGGGCTCGTTAGAAGCCCACAAAAAGCTCACCAGAAAGTCAACAGAGGCGCACCAGAATCTCTTGAGAAGATCACCAGAATCTCACCAACCGCTCACCAGAAGTTCATCAGAAGATCACCAAAAGCTCAAAAAAATATCACCAGAAGCTGACCTGGACAAGCAGAGGAAGGTGGAGCAGCAGCCGCTCCTTGCTCTCCACGTCAGCTGACAGCCTCAGGAGCGCATCCATGGCTGCATGTGGACTGCCACGTGGGCTGCCACGTGGACTGCCATGTGGACTGCCACGTGGACTGCCATGTGGACTGCCAAGTCTGTCATCCCCACCAGCAGCAGCCAGCTGCAGCAGCGCCTCTACAGCGCCCGCCTCTCTAAAAGCCGCTCTGTTAGCAGCAGAGGACGCGCAGAACCACCCAATCACCCCCGCCGCCTTCCCCTGCTCCTCTCTCGTCCCCTGC